AGAGCACAAGCCACGCATGGAACACATCAGGAAACGGAAGATAATGAAGAGCAGTGTCACGTACCTTCTCCCCATGTACGACCCCCTTATACGCGTGCTACAGAAACCGGTTGCTCTACTATTCCTTGACTTTGACCTGGACGGTATGTCGCGCTGTCGCATCGAGGGTGCTGATAGACGTGATGAGAGGCCATGGTTATGACGTGCCGGCACCCACTCCTCCAGGAAACGTCGCCTGAATCGCGCCGACGAGATATTTGCCAAGTATCTCCGTTAGATAGCAGAAAAATCACCTGCAGTAGAATTTTGCATAGATTTTCCTATTCAAAGGTAGTAGGTAAAAATGGTCTAGCTTCCCCATCTCATCAGCCTCAGATTGTTTCTTCGCGTCCCTGCCTTCCAAGGCGAACCTCCTGCCGCAAAGAACAGTTGATGAAAATGATGGGACGGTAGTCCGAGGCCGTGGGAAACTTTAGGGAATGTCCTTTTGTACGGGCCGACCCCGGACAGTACTCTTCACAGCTACTTTGACAACCTGTCGACGACAATACGAACCTACCTTTTTTTCTCATTGAAGTTGGATATAGAACGCCATATTTATTGTACGTGTGTTATTTTGTTCTGCACCTCATTACGGCCGTAGTAAGTACATACTCCTTTGATCGTTGAACGCTCGTTTAGGCAGACTGTTCCCCCAAACTTTGCAATACGAACGTCAATGCCGCTTCTATGTATTTCTCGTGGTAGCAAAGTACCACGACTTGCACACGAAAGGTGCCATTCAATGTGACCTATAAGCCAGATGCTGAACTGAAGTTGATAATTACCCAGGTTGCTAGAGATGCCCACCGTACCCGTGCTGCCTCAGGAATACTTTTTATGGTCTTTATATGGGTACCCCAAATTCAAATGAATTCTGGATTATTTTGGTACAAGGTAAGTCACCCCGCGGTATACAGTACTGGTGTGGTATGGCATGGTATAAGGGCAAAACCTGTACCGTGCCGTCGGGGCCCATTTCTCCTACAGCTTACGGCCGTAAACATATATGGAACGGTGGAAAATCCCTACTGGCTGCCTTATCGTGACAAACCCACATGCGGGAGATTAAAGATTACAGAAATATTTTGTATGCAAGGTGAAGAAAGAGACGAGCCTTCAAAATACTGTCGGAGCCAAGCAGAGGGAATGGATACAGCTATTCTTCTGTGCACGCCCATATCTGACTATGTTTACTACAGCGACCGTTGAATACAGATAACCTTCTGGATGACTATGGAACATGAGACGATGGATGGCTTATGTTCAGGACGCCAGTCGCTTTTTTCCATCTTGCACACAGTCATGACACAGACAGCTGACCTTTTATCTCTTCCGCTTCTTAGGGAATGTCGACAGGATCCCGTCAATTGAGTAACATTAATCATCAGCTGCCGCTTGTTGATTCGTTGTGACCCCGTGGACTAATGCCCGGGAGCATTTTTGGTAACTCGCCACTTGGCAACGTCGATAAGTACTAGTCATCAGTTCTTCTCTTACCCGGAGTACTGGTTATATCCATCAGAAATAGCGACAGGCATTGATTTTCCCTTGAACGAAGACCTCATGACGCAAACTAACTTCATAGCCGACCAATCGCATGACTTGTGATAAATCTTATGAGCGAAATACGTAAAGGCTGGGAAAAAGACGTCCTCTCAGAAGAATAAAAGCCCTGCATTGAATCGCAACAGCAGAACGCCCCCAATGCTGAGTTACAGTGCCGTTGTAGTGCCTCTTGTCCTCTCTTATGTTCTTTATCTAGCAGTCTACCGTTTAGTCTTCCATCGTCTCAAGTCATTTCCAGGGCCACGTTTAGCGGCGCTGACAGGCTGGTACCAGACATATTATGAGGTATTCTGCGACGGTCTATTCGTCCAGAAACTCGAGGAACTCCACAAAATATATGGTATATCCCTCCGATCCCCCACCTGCCAGCCGAAACTTACTGGTCCAACCCAGGACCCGTCGTTCGCATCAATCCAAATGAAGTGAGGGTCTTACAAACAATGTCACGTCCCTTTGACTGACTTATATCTCTTAAGCTACACTTCAGCAACCCGCAAGCATACTTTTCCATCTACACGTCGCAAGTCAAATTCATCAAAGACCCAAACTTCTACTTCTGCTTCGCCCAAGACGAATCCTCATTCGGGTTTACTGATCTAGCCGTCGCAAAGAAACGAAGAGACGTGCTCTTGCCTTTCTTCTCTCGTCGATCGATCCTTCAACTTGAAGGCATTGTCCAATCCAAGGCAAGTCACCGTTCGCTTCCACCACTTCCGCTGGCTTAAATTTCCAGAAGGTCGACACGCTCCTTTTCCGCCTCCGCCAGGATTACACCGGCAAGCCTGTGAATCTGTACGCTGCCTTCAAATCCCTCACTATGGACATCATTACCGCCTTCAGCTACTCCCATTCATTCGACGCCCTCCTCTCCCCAGACTTCTCTCACCCAATCCTTCTCAGCCTTGAAAGAGCCATGCCTATGATGACTACCATCCGCCACTTTCCCATCCTCCAACTGCTCTACCGCCTCCCTGAGTCGGTCACGCACCATCTCGACCCCGATACCATCGGTTTCGTCCAACTGCGACACGCGCTTTCTGCGCAGATCGAAGGGATACTCAAAAACCCTTCGTCACTCGATGGTATGCACGAGACTATTTATCATAGCCTGCTATCTCCAGAGAAATTCAAATCGGGCGAGATACCATCCAAGAAATCTCTATCGGATGAGGTACGCAGGATTACCGCGTTCTTCTCGAATCTTTTCCATCACTGACGTTTATATAGGCTCAGAATTTACTCTTCGGTGGAACTGATACAACAGGTAATACGATGACGATCGGCTTCTTCCACATCATGCAAAACCCGGACATACATTCCAAATTGATGACAGAATTACTCGACGTTTGGCCCAGCAAGGAATCGTGCGTCTCCTACCAAGTCTTAGAGAAACTACCGTACTTGGTGAGTTACCTCTTATCCCATCCCGTCCGACGATCCTCACCCAATCAAAACAGACCGCGGTCATCAAAGAATCCTTACGGATCAGTAACGGTGTTCCAGTCGCAAAACCACGCCTCGTGGACTCTCCGACCGTCATCGAGGGCGTCCTCGTTCCCGCTGGAGTGAGGTTTTACCCGCAGTTTGAGCCGAGCTTTGCATCTAACAAATTCGCAGACCAGCGTCGGTATCGGCAGCACGTTTATCCTCATGAACGAGGACATCTTCCCTGATCCGCATTGCTTCAACCCAGAAAGATGGCTCCAAGGTGGGGCTGCCCTCGACAAGTACCTGATATCGTTCTCGAGAGGTCCTCGAGCTTGTCTGGGTATCAAGTAAGTTATCTGCCGTCGTAGCATTTGGGGTCCGTCTGACGGTCTCAAGTCTGGCATGGTGTGAACTCTATATCCTCTTTGCCAACCTACTTCGGAAATTTGATTTAAAGAATCATGAGACGAAGTGCGTAACCCGATTCTTTCTATTCCACACCCTTCCTGATGGTTTTTTCAACTTTCGAAGGCATGTCAACTTCCGGTATCACTTCTTACCCGCGTTTCGTGACAAGCATTTGCATGCCATCGTCGCTGAGCGAGAATAATTTTAGTTGTGCGTTTCTTATTCATGCTGTAATTTGCGGCTCGCTAAAAACAATCGTACAGCCCAGATATTAACGATAGAATATGATGGCTCTTTGATCGTGACTCGTTCCGAACAAGTTATCGGTGCACGGTTGTCATTGCATATCAGGTTCTTTTTCTATAAGCATACTTACAAGAACGAAATACTACACAGGACTGGTTCCTGCTGAAAGCGTTTCAAACGTACAACTCTTAAGTAATGATCAGTGGCTCTCGAACACGATAGGATTTTGGCATCATCAAATTTACTGTTGCAGAAGAAATAGCGTCTCTGGTGTTCTACCTACTGAACCGTCGTCAAACCATACCACTACTTTCAATGTTGTTGCACTGAGGATTCAATTTCCGTTTTAGGCGCGTCATATAAAACCTTCGAAGCCGACGCATAACTAGTCGATTCCCCGTCACTGACTACTTCTCCCATATCTTTTTTGAGTCTCAAAACCTTTGAACTAACCACTCTTCCAGTGTCATTCCGATCCTTGGATGAGCCCTATGATCCTGATGATTATGATCCTGACTTCGGCTGGGACTACGATGGGAGCGTTGGCACGGTCCGGTTCCGCCGAGATCACGTGTTGCATTGCCGTAGATTCCCGCTTGTACGTAGCGACAACTGTGACTATCACTATCCATTGCCGATTCCCTCTCTTGGACCTAGCGATACGGTTCCAACGACATTTCCAATTTAATATTTCTGCACGCTACTTGTCGTGAGCTTTGCCGTCTCCGTAAGGTAGCAACCTTTGGCCGCCCCCTCCATGAGGGCTGTTCTTTCCCAGTCACCTTTCCCCATGTCTTCTAAAAGTCAACTTCCGCCAATGCCTGTGAACTACCACTTTTGGGACCTATAACGTTGTGGTCACCCCTGTCCTCCAGAATTTTACCGAACCTAGAATTCCTTGGTCGCTAGTCTGCGTTGGTGACGTCGATATGGGCAGAGAAGCTAAGGGAAAAGTCGTGTTCAAGATTCTACAGCCCTCGCTGCTTCTGCGGAACCCTTGGATAACTGTATTTCCCCGAGGCATCTTGCCCCTATGGAGGATCTAATCTATGGAAAACTGGAGTCTCTGCAGGGCACTGCAACTCCATACTACTTTGAGCTGCACAAGGTATTTTTACTTGTTCGCTGATTGTCAGTTCATCTAATTTTCTATAAACAGCTGACGATGCCGAATGGAGAAGTAGCGCGTGTGTTGGTTATGAAGCATATCGACGGTGTTACAGTCGCCCAGTGGAAACGCACGTATCTGAAGCACGAGAATTTGAATAGCGACGATGAATATGACGATGAAGAAGCGGAAAAGAATGGTCGAAAGCTGGAAACCAGATCGCCACGGATATGATCGCGCACAAATAATGTCTACACGAAATCCTGGGCCCCAGAAATACTAGAATGGCGCATTAGCTATAGATTAGCATCGTTTCTTGTAGCAGAAGCCCTGAGCGCGAATACGAAATGAAGGTCGGTGGGTAGCTTTACACAACACGGTCCATCGGGACATGGCGGGCATGCCTGTAGCGCGCGTATAAGGGGGTCGTACATGGGGAGAAGGTACGTGACACTGCTCTTCATTATCTTCCGTTTCCTGATGTGTTCCATGCGTGGCTTGTGCTCTTCTAGGTCAATAATGGTTTGGCAATCGATCCGTGGTCATTACAGACACCAGAGTCAGCGTATCCGCAATAGAGCACTCGCAGTAAATACGATCAGATGCAGCAATGGGACGATAGGAACAATATGCTGGCCTATAGAATGGGGCTGAGAAGCGCCAGCCATCGGTCACATTCCGTGCTCGCTGCATGGATTGTAATCCTTGTATTTGACGTCGTGGCGACAAGATGCATTCTCTCGTGGCTGCCCAAAATGGTTGCGCTGATGTATTGTCCGTGTGACGCCATCTATCCTTCGAGTTCGTCGTGGAATTTCGGGCCTGCAGCTCTGACGTGGTCCCTTGATGGCGATTTGAAGGACAGCGTTTGTAGCAAAGGTATGACAGCCGCTTGATGGACTTTTTCGTCATTCTGAGATTCTTTGTCAGGCGCGTTGCTCGAATCGACGATAATACAAGGACTCACTCTACATACGAGGACACAAACACCGATTGGGATGCAGTTCGGATAACCCGATATTGGATCTAAGTTTCGACCCGTTCACGTTCTGTGTGCAATTTTCCGTTCGGTACACAGAAAACTGGAAGGAAGAAAACTGATATCGATTATAGATCATTTTGATGTCATTCCCAGCCCCACAGCCATGACACCATGAAACAAGATCCCGGCGGAGAGCACCTGGACGCTGATGGTGAACATCGTGGCACACTGATCGCGCAGAGGCCTCTGAAAATGATCCCTTCCCTTGGAATCTGAATCGGGACAATTTGCAATAAACACTATTTGGTCACGAGATAGAGATCGGCCCACAGCAGCATGAACTTTATCCTGCTCGTCGACGATGTGCTGATTTGCACCATCGCGTTTCTCTCTGTTCCAGATATTCTGCGACTTCATTAGGTAAGGCTTTCTTTGGCCTTAATTCCTGGATGCTGAATTTTCAGAAGTGTAAACGGTTCGACGCACTGACAAGGCTACTAATCATATGGACCAACGCCCACAAGCTCGACATTCTGTCCAATGACTATCCTTTCCCCCTCGATGTTATCGATCTTGAACAGCGCACGCGACACGCGTACCGACTCGCGTCATGATGGCTCCTTGACTGTTCTCTGTCACCCACAAGCAAGGTGATGTTGGTGGACTCACCTGTATCAGAGATCAAATTCATCTCAGGGCGGCAGCACAAATGGCTGCTGACCGCATCCAAGGGGACACGGTCAGTCCTGATGATCTGGGACATCGTGGAGGCGTACAAGTGCTCGAAATGATCCCCACACCGGAACGACGTTGGATTCAGGGATGTGACAGTTAACGATAACCCAGATTCTGAAGCCAGTGTCATGGTGTCATTGTGAGCACCTGTTAATATGCTAAACGACCACTAATTTCTATAGATCGCAGATAATTGTGCTCCTGCACTTGGACGATGATGGAACATTTCATGAAATCTACTTCATCAACATCAACCTCCGCCTTGTCACCCTCACTGGTGACATCTTAGCGCTAACTGATCCCAGCTCCACTACGCTCATCTACAACTGGAAGACCGGCGAGCGCACACACCTCGACACGCCGCGCACCCGTTGCCTCCAAATCATTTAACCCCGCCCACGGACCTCGTCCTGCATGCCCAGTCCATCGCTCTCTACGTCCTTCCATCACCCACGCTTGTCTCCAAATATTCCTTTGGCTGGGTCGACGGTGCCAGTGCAACCCCCACCTCCATCCCTATCCGCAATAACATAACCCTCTGGGATAACAGCATGAATCCTTCCAGCACTACTCCCTATCATCCTTCCCGCCAATGCTCACCAGTAAAACATCCTCCTTCCATCGATCTACTCGATGTTCGGACATCATCCTCGGCAAGCGGGCCACTCCCATCACCGCAATCGGGAGGAGCAGAACAGTTACGAGACCCTCGTGGCTGCTGTCTTCCCCAGTCCGCTTAACCACACCGAGAATGCCCGTGTTCGCACGATCTGCTAGAATAATTTTGATAATTGGATGGCGTTGGATTATGACGAGGACCTTGGAAGGATCGCGCTTGTAACGTGGTCTGGGAAGATTACCATTGTTGACATGTAGCCGAAATATATCTCCATGAGTACTATCATGTCTGCTACACGATTGTCTTTTTCTACTGTGCATCCCTTGTCAGTCTTTATTCAGAGTACTCTATATGTTGATTCTATTCGCTCTATGACAGCCCATTGTACAATGGCTAGATCGTATTCCTCTACATCTGGATTTAGAAGAACTGATGAGGCACTTGCGGATTAGCTTCGGAACCTATGTTTCTTCGTCATTCATCTTGTAAGGCAGGTATCGGTCAGTTCCTGTTTGCAAAGGTATTATTTTGGGATGGTAACTGTTGGAAATCCTCGGTGTTGCGCAGGGTAGACTCCAGGCTGGTAAGGCCAGAAGGTATGAATTTGTTATTCTACAGCTCCTACAGAGCTTGTATTTGTACTCTCCAGGCTTGTATCTAGAATTTACTACAACTTTCTCTTTCTCTCGAGCTTACTCATCAGCTCTCGGCATGATGCCGGATTGCCCTTTCTAGAACTTTCCAGCAAAATCCAACAGTAACTATATGAGGAGCGTTATGATTTGGGTATGAATATGGAAATCGGAGATGTACACATTCACCGGGACCGATTCAGCGAACCATGATTAAGATTCAGTGTGAGCCAAGTCGATCCCAGTCGATTGTTCATCGTTGAGAGTGGAGGCCGCGAGCAAGCACAGTGCAAAAGAATAAACCAAGAAATAGTCTGGGAAGGAATGCGACCGCATCGTCGAATTCATTTTTCAGGGCCTTTAATTTCAGTGGTTTGCCTTGCGCGACATAGAATATGCAACAATGGACTGTTTTATTCTCGCTATAAGAATACAACTAACCTCTTTCTTTTTGTGGTAGGACTTTGTTGGCATGTCTTAACATTCATCCATACCCTCAGCATCGTCGCTCAGACCGGCCTTAGATGCTGGCACTTCTCAAATGGTACAAATTTATTACCTTTAATCTCATGATTTCGTCCGGCGGATAATCACTCATCCATTGAATCTGGGCGGGTTTTGCCCTGGTTTCCCTACTGTCCTTCTTGTTAGGCTTTCGCTGATGTGTTTCCCAAGACTTGGGGTCAGAGCACTTTATTTCTTTTAATAAAAAAAAAGGTATGATCCCAAGCATCTTCTCCGACGTTGTTCCTCAACGCCAGCTGCCAAAGCAATGGTTTACATACCCATACTATATCGACTTACAGGCCCATGCCTTTTCTACATATAGGACTTCTTTTACCAAAGTCTTCAATCAATCCATCAGACACTAGTAATTCATTTCAGTGCGACGGAAGGCAGGTCTTTCTATCGACGAAGGAAATTTACCGGTCGCGTGACAAAAACATCATCAGGGACTGGAGAACCCCCCGGTGGTGTTGTAACCTTCTGTTGTGTCACCAATGTTCGTGAACGAGATCGGTTTGTACACAACGGCGGTACCTTCGAATCAATCAGGTAACAGGATACAATTTAGAGGTGAAATATCGACGTGCTTACCCTTTCCGTCGACAATCTCAGGACTACCACGCTTACATCCCCTGCTCATACAACTACAGCAACGTGGCTGCTCTCACTACAATTCAGTCCTTCGCTCAAGACACGCACACACCAAATATAGCCCGAGATATTGCAACCCGCTTTAATTATGACCAAAGAACACAGGTTTTGGATCGCCATGCGAAACCAAACCAACTCATCATTGACAGATGCATCTATAGGAAATTGAACCCTCAAACTGGCGTGGCCCCGACAGCCACTAGACGTCATCCGATTATGGTTAGAGCTCCACCCAGCTATTCCTTCACATGGTAATTTTTTGCCTGACATAAATGGATCTCTTAATATTTGAAGGATTTTTTACAAGATGGACCCAATTACAATCACATATAGGTATCGTGCGGGAGCAGGAAGATTGACTATAAAACATTTCATTTTTGGCCTATAAAACGATGTCTCCTGTAGGAAAGACCTCTCCCTCCTGATTTTTTTTTCCTTCTAGAGTGAATGAGGGATTCAAAGACCAAAACTCTCCTGAAATTCTTGTGTTTCTTCCTTGCTGACTTTTGGATCATTATCTTCAGCGGAAAGCGGACCGAATTCCTTTGCTGGGAAGTATTGTTACCGAATGAGTATCACACCTTATTATTTAACGCATGGATCTCCTACCTTTCCACTTCCGTAACGAAAATGACAGGTATATCACAGATCTACAATGAATTTCTGTGGGGAATCGAACCGCCGACCGGACCACCTCGACCATTCGGACGTTATCCTTCCACGTTTCAACCTTCTTTCACATGAAACATCTAGTTCATCTGAATGACGACGTTTCCTAGGAGCAGAAGCCTCTCCCCTGCCCTACGTTGCGTCTTGGAATTTCAGACCATCGAAAACCTTATTTTCGACATCTGCCCCAAAATGGAAACATCGTTTCCCCAGTCAGCCTCACAATACATTCCACCACACATACAGCCGCACTGACCCGTCCGGCTTCCAGCAGCACCTCTTCGTCGCCGAACTGTCCCACCGTTCACCACTCTCCCGAAAAGTCCACTATAACCATCGATGCTGAAAAACAAGTCAACCCATGGGATAGCTACGAAGAGGATGAAATGCCCGAAGAGACTCAGCCGCACCTCGTACGCAACCTACGGTTACAGGCCTTCTCTATTTACCGCCGCCTATTCTCAGTCGCGTTCTTAACGGACATGGGTATCTTCATTTCGTACGCAATCCGCAGCTATCAGACTGCACTGGTCGCGGTGGCGAATATCTTTTTCGCTATTCTCATGAGGCATGAACGCGTTATAAACTCAATTGCATGCTCTGTTCCTCAGTCGTGAGTTCTCTTTGCCTGGTGATCTTTGTAGTTCACTGATGCGTTTTCTTACCGAGGTGGCCGTTCTTCATTCGTCCGACTGCTGCGAGAGTGTGTCATAATGGAGGCAACCATTCGGGAGCTGCTGCTGTTTGAGGGACATTTTTGCTGATATTTTTGGCCACCCAAGCGACTAGGGAACTTGTTCACAGCAAGCGGGTACATTTCCCCTCAAAGTGTATGTCTGCGTGATTCTAAACCATCGATACACTTCCAGACTTCAGTGGCTTGTCAACTTTTTGACTCCGGGAAAGGCCTGTGGAGAACAATGTCCAACATTGTCTTCTTCTCCAGATGCTCCTGTGTGAGCACTGTGCTATATGTATACATGATATCCAACTCGGTTATTTGTTCCGGTAACTGCAGCCACGCGAGTTCAGCGTCGTTTTACCACCAGTTGTTGTTCACCGATGTCTGCGAGACGTTGGGGAATAAATTTTGAAGTACTGGCATAAGATCGTGGATATCTGACCATGCTGGGTGCGCTTTGGGATGGAGGTGGATATCGACTTCGAGGACGAAGGAGATGGACCGGCAGAACTTCGACGGCGAAAATGAAGCGTCGACGGACCGGAAGGCTATGGTGTCTCGTTGTAGGGTACGGCCGATGATGTGGTTAAGGTGGAAATGAGTGAAGATGTGTATGTCAGTGCAGTACACATGAGTAAATTCCCAAGCAAACGATTTGCTGACGAGAAGGGATGATGTTGCCATCCGGAGACGTTCGACGGGTGTAAGAGGAAAGGCCCATGCTTCCTCGATCGTCTGGGCAGGTATTTTTGCAGGCAGTACATTTGCCACTGTTCAACAGCAGTTGTAGAGATGATTTATGTGATTACAGGCATCGTTGTCCCTGCATTTTATATCTGATGATGCTCCACATTTTCATGATCCACCCTGGCCTTGGTGGTGAGAGTTCTGTCTCATCGATCATCCTGGGTAGAGTGTCCCCACTGGATGAAATTCTGCAAGCTTAGAATATCACACATCTTCTGTGACATCCTTAGAAATGGTTAGTTCAATAACAGTAGGATATATATTAATCTCCTTTTCACCAAGAAGTCACAGCTCCAAAATTTGCTGACTGACTGGAAATGCACTGTATGAAACTTGATGTCTAGGAAAATGGTTTCAGATGGCTCCCGGAACATTAGAAAGGGGGATGGAGGTAAAGGCCGAAGTTAGACTGTAATTGGTGGCTGTGTCTTACGAGGGATTTCATTGAATCTGCCTTCATTTAGTGTCTTTACACCCATTTAAATTATTTATGAGCTCTCAGCTTCCTTGGTGTCACCAAATGATTCACTAGGACTAATTTCCCTTTGCAGAGCATCCATTTAATTATAAGTGGCTAGGTCAAAATAGAATTTATTTATCTGCAAATTATCACTCTATGTACTTAAAATAAATAATATTTTGGAGGAAACGGCGGAAGATTCGGGGATCGCGAGATGGTTTCCATTTTGAGGAGTTTACACCACACAGTTTTAGCTTACATCATCATCACGGAGGGCGAATTTGAGACAAGTCTCAGACGGCAATGGATATATAATGGAGCTCTTTGGCCTCTCTTCAGTCCCTCACTGAACATCTCTCTACACTACACAGTGAAGTCACTCAGCTCATTTTTGATCTTTTGAATCATTTATCAGTCTGTCCCTTAGTTTCTTTATGATTGTCTCATACTAACCATCTTATTTTCCCTCTCTTCATTCAATGCTTTCTGCTGAAGTTGTTGAGGATTACATTCACTTTGCTAGGAGCTACATGGAGGAGGCTCAGAGCTCTGTTGACCAGGACCCTACTATCTCCCCAACCACTGCTACATCAACCTTCTCCTCTCTGGACCTTGGCAGTGATACCATGTGCAGCACTACTTCCTACACTTCTGATGTGCATGCTGTCTCCAAGGAAGAGGCTGAATTCTACTATGCAGGCCTTCATTCTGGGCCCACATTGCTTTACCGCACAGGCAAAAAGTGGTTCCCACCCAGAGGACCTGAAGCCTATCACTGTTTGAAAGAGCTGCGCCCAGTCTACAACCATCTGATTATAACAGTCTGGAACAATGACTTGGGCTGGAAGGTTGTTAAAGTTTTAGATGCTCATACAGTCAGTTAATAGATATTTATCATATTATAGAATTTGCTAATTAGGATTTTTAGATCCACTTTACAACAATAGATGTTGTTCGTTTCAAGATGGCCCAGTTCAATGAACTATCTGAGGATGAAAAAGATGCTGATGAAGAAACAGTACAGGCTAAGAAACCAGTTATTGGTCCTGTCACTATTTGGATTGGTGTCATCTCTGAGTCTACCTCTGCCACAGCTGCCCATGATGCAGCTCAGGACATTCTAGCCCTTCTCAAGGACTATCAGATCACTGATGTTGATGTTGACTTCTGTGAGTCCTTCTATACATGTGAGGCTAGTCCTCAGCTTCTTGAACCTGTCAGTGATCTGGACTCACTTGTCAATGGATGTTACAATTTTTTCAATTTATTTTATCTTTTATCTTATCTTATCAGAGCATCTATCTAATCACAGGCACTTACAGATAGGCATGGGATGATTATACAATCACAATAAGCCACACTATTATTCTGTAAACAGTGATAGTGTCTCAATGGTAGACAATACCTCATTGTTCCACCCCCAACAACCAGAGGTGACAAGGACTATAGCACAGAGATGCACAATTAATAGGACTATATTTATCAAAAGGCAAAATGTATATAAGTAGCTTAGCTCTTGCTGTAGATACCCAGCTTCAAGCTAAAGTTTATTCTATATCATCTTCTCTTGACCCTAACTTGTCTAAATGTCTTGGAATACATTGGCTATATAACACATATAGTGAACTGATGTGACTGTATGAAGACAATACAGCATCAGTTTATCACATGTTTAAGTCATGTGCACTTTGGGTCTAACAATGTCATTAGTCCTCTCACTTCCACTCTTGGCCTGTTAGACCTGCTCAACACATGACTAGAACACATGATAAACTAATGCTGCATTGAGTTTGTATAGTCACATTAGAGTCCACTATTATGTGTTCAACTTGGTGCAAACCAGGCATTCACAGAACAAGCTTGAGAGAGATAAGTGGTATGAATAAACTTTAGCTTGAAGCTGGAGTATTACAGCAAGAGCTATCATACTTATATACTTGTCTGTAATAATAAATACAGTTCCTGTACTATTATGGCTCTCTGCATTGTGACACTATGGTGTCTGATTGTCAGATATGAAACAAATGGATGTTGTCTGTTGTTAAGGCATCTTTGATATTATTGTCATGGTTTACCTATTGTGTCCATCTCCATCATATGGCAATTATCCCACAATCCTAAGTGCTTAATGATAAGCTAGGTGCCAGATAAGATAAATAAACATAAAAAATCATAACAATTGTCTAAGCATCTTGATATCAATAATGACATCAAAGACCATTTTTTTCTGTGACTTCTTTTCTTTCTTCTATGCTCCTTTATCTATTGCTTGTTTGTTAGTGCAGATGAATGCTTTGACTGCTGGTGGATTGCTGTTTAGGTTTATCTTTATTTTTCATCTTGTCTTTTCATACTTGATGTCTAAGGCTTGGACTAGTGGACTTGTCATTTCAGTTTGTCTCATTTCTTTACTCTCTCTCCTCATGCAATTGATGGCCTTCATGTTCAGATTCCATATGACTTGACATAGTTTACTGGACTATCAGACATGCTTGCCAATTTTGAGTGGTATTTAGTAGGCATTGACACATCTTTACTGTAGCTTCTTATTCTTCAGACCCTTACAACTTCACCACATACTATTTATTCTCCTCTCCACTCATCTATACCCATTGTTCATCTATCCTTCTCTGTCTATCCCCAGTTGTGTTGTGTACCCCCCCCCCCCTATATACCCCATTCCCACTCATCTTATATCTCCTCTTACATGTTGAATGAACATTGTTGACTTTGTTGTTTAAATCACACATGATAAAACAAAGTTCAATATGTGGGTAAGGTTGACTTAGGCACTTATTAGTGCTCTAGTGCTGAGTGGGGCTTAGCTTTATTCTTGTTGATGACTTTGCCATTGTGACTTGCTTATTTTCTTTTTTATATACTAGATGAATTTTCCATTTTACATTTTCATGCATGCATTTGCTTGTGTTGATTTGTGTTTTATTGATGATCATTTGTGTTCTTACCAATGCATTCATGACATCAAAAGTACATGTTAGTATATATGATTGCAGAGGAAATATTCACATCAGAAAGTTTTCAATCTCTAAAAACTCTTACAACTGTTATGAACAGACTAAAGTGCTGATTTAACTGTTTGAGACCTAATAATGATAAATTTCCTGCCCAACAGGTCTCCCTAGCCACTCCAATAGCATAGTTCCACAATAATTGTGTTAGAATATTAATGGAACCCCCAATGCAAGGCCAGAAATGTGAATGCATGTTAATGATGCTAAAGTCTTTGCTGAAGTTGACTGAAAAGGTACCATCTATTCTGACAGACCCAGGCTAGAAACAGCTGGTGAGCTTGTTGGATATGTGAAGACAGTTGTCCTCCTCTGGTATAACATGTGCTTTCACAATTGCCTGTTCAGTAGCAGGCAAATAAGAATTGCCATCAGATGGAAAAGTCAGTATGCAAAAAAGCCTTTGCATGTCTCTTAGGAGTATGTGGTTCATATTTCCCATTTCTTTTGAATTTCACACGTTTCAGGCCCCTTGACGGCCATGTGAAGGATCGGATGCATAGCAAAGGTATGACAGCCTCTCGATGCTCTCATTCTGAGATTCTTTGTCAGGCGCGTTGCTCGAATCGACGATAATACAGGGACTCACTCTGCTTACGAGCACACAGAAACACCGATTGGATTGCAATTCGGATATTCCGACATTGGATCCAAGTTTCGGCCCTCTTGCAACGGGTTCACGCTGTGTGTTCGATATTCCGTTCACTTATAATGCTTGACTTCTAACGCGTATAATTCTGTGTAGTTATGTCTACAGGGTCTCTGTGTAACGAATGTCTCTTCTTTTATCTCCCTGAAGCCAACGCGTATGATCATGTTGATGCGACTCGGATTACCGAAGCGATCATGCGGCAACGGGGCCATCAACACATGCTCACCCTGCGTAAGCGCCAGGCAGTCTTCTCTTCTTCCTTCACTGCGTCCACGATGGTTTCTCAAGACTTCGCAGCCAGATGTCATCCGACCTTCAATACTCCAGGCGCCGACGCCGTTCTATCTTCGCTAGACGATACTTTATACCGACTGCCATCATTCGTCTTGCGAAGGTCGACCGCGTTCTTCGCTTCGAGCTCCTTCACTTTCGGACGAGACAGCGAGCCGATCCCCATCCATGAACACGATGTTGTCTTGGAGCGACTGCTACGTATTATCAGCGGGCTCGAGATCCCGCCTTGGCGCAAATTTGATGACCTCGAGGGTGTGCTCAGCCTAGCTGATGCCTGGGGAGCCAGAAGTGCGGTGGACATTATACGCGCATCTATCACTGCCCCCGTGTTCCTGAGAGAACCACTCCGGGTGTATGCGATAGCAACTAGATTTGGGTGGGAGGAGGAAGCGGAGCTCGCGTCGAAACATACTCTATCCTTGTCTCTCCACGAGGAGCAGTACCAGGAGGCGCTGCAGCGGATCCCGACGCGGTCGTTGGTCAAGTTGTTCAAGCTGCACCGGAAGCGGAGGGATGAGTTTCAGATGGGTATGGCATGGGACGCGAGTTGTAAGGGGTGTGGTGAGTCTGTCGACGGGTCGGCGTGGACGGCGCTTGTGTGGAAGATGTTCTGGGAAATGGATGCGAAGTCGTCGGGGGATAGGCTTTGTTCGTTGGAGGTTGAGGAGTGGCCGGAAATGCTGGCATGTTCGGAGGTGAAATGTGCTGGATGTGGAATGGCGGTATATGATAGATTGGAGGTGATGGAGAG